AACATTCATCATTAACACGATGTTCTGTGTGTTTTGTTTGGTTGATGAAACTGTTTCTTAAAGAGGACAATGTTTGTCTGTTCTTTGTCTGAGTGGGCGGGGCTTCTGATTTGTGTGTCCAGCTTTGATTGGCCTGCCCAGGTGCATCCTGGGCCTTAGGTAAGCCCAGCAAACATTCAACATGGCCTCCTCACCTTTCCTGTCAGCACCAGCTGTGTTTTCCAGAGAGATCAGGTAAGACACCTGTCTCTGATATTATGAATAAATCTTTAATCAACATTAGAAAATCTTTCATCAAATATGAGTTCAGTAAGAAGATCCTGCGCTGATAGTTCTCCCATCAGGAGTCTGGAAAAACCCTGGTTGTTTTGTGGCCTTGAATTGTCATGTTCAAAACAATGGTTGTCACGCTATGACAGGTTCAGAGTGACCTCCTCTTCTCTTGGACCTTCTACTTATGTTTTATGTGTTTTGTTCTGCTGTTATTTTGTGTGTGTCATGTTGTGTCAGGGGATGACATGAGAGTCTGTCATCAGCATGGTGGAGATTTTTTTTTCTTTTAACATGGATTTTATATGAGAAATGTTCTTCAACTATTCAAGAGATTTGTGTGTGTATTTTTTTATATTTTGGCATTTAGTTAGTTTGACTTAATATTTTTATAGTATTTACTATTTATTTGCAATCTATCTGCAACTCAAGTCTAGGCTGTGACACTCACAACTGTTTCTATTGTCTGGCATTTAATAGAAATAGCCTTGATGTTCATTTTCCAGTGTTTTTCTAGCTCGCCTCAGTGTGTTTCACAGAGAAAATTATATATTTCAATGCTTTTTGGTGTGACTTCTGTGGTGTTTCCAGTAACAGTAACTGTGTTGTGATTGGCTTTGGTCGTACAGTGAGCGTCCTGTTCAGGTGACACGAGCGCTCATGACTGCTAATGGTGATCTCACCGCTTCGCTTTTCCTAAAACCACACAAAGGACCTTAGATCGTGGTCACTAAAGATTGTCATTCTATAATTATATACATGAAAAGTGCTGCCGTTGACTCATGCGGTCGTGTATGAATGTGTTGTTTGGGGAAAACTAGGAGCATTTGATGTGGAAAAATGTGTCAGTGTTTGATGGTAATCTTGGTGTTTGAAAGGAAGGCGTGTTTAGTCACATCACTGCCATGTGACTCACAACAGTTTAATTGATTTATATAAAATTATTTTTTTTTCTTTTCAACTAACAAAAGTGGCTTTTGTTGATTTGATTGAACAGGATTTGTAGGATTTAAAGTCTGAGAGGGAGCAATGATCTCTCTCAACTGTGTTGAGAAGAAAATAAAAGATACCAATGAAAAAATGTTTTTATTCGAAGTTCAAAAGGAAAGTATTTGGCTTTAGGAAAGTTCCATAATACATGATCCTTAACGGTGTTGAAATATTCATTTTGTTTTGACAAGTTGTTTTTATGATGGCGTTTAGGGCCGTGTTGAAACAAATCTAAAATAAATTGATAAAGTTTTTTATGATAATACAAATTTAATGATTCTATTTTCATGACTTTTTATCACTTTTTTCCAGCTGCACCAACTCTTGTTGCCTGCAGTTTTCAAAGCTGCAGCAGGTGTGTGACTTTACAACTCACCAAGGAGTTTAACAGCAGCCTGAACGTCCACCTGCTGGGAGGAAACGGCCCAGAGAATGGCTGGAGATAAAAAAACAGCAGGGCAAGTTTCAAAATGAAACGGCAGTACAGGTGTAGAAGCTATCAACCGGGACAAAAATTATCATCAATTTAATAAATTATCTTCTTCATCTTTTATTATCTTTTCCTATTATGAACAGCAATGTCAAAAATGAAAAGAAAACAAAGGGAAAAGGTATCTCAGAAGGCTTCTTTAAAGATTGTTGTTTGTACAGTTTGTATTTTTATAGCTAACACAAAGCACTTGGTCATGTTTTCTTTGTCTGGTCTTGTCTGTCTTTAAACACAAATCCTTCTTCAAATCTGAATTTCCTTCAGTATAAATCCTAGGTCTTTGCCCTAATCCTGACGTCTTCACTTTACTGTAGTCAGCTGTTGTCACGAACACATTCACTGTCAACCACGTCTGTGTTTAAGGTAAAAAAATAAACTGCACAGTAAAGTCAGCTTTGATGTCATAGAGAGAGGACAGTGGGTCTGTATTCACCGACAGTGAGTTTCATGCTCTGTTTGTTTTCATTGTCCTTTCACTAGCACTGCTAACTCAAACCACACACTGTAGTTCAACTGGACTGTGGAGCTGGAGCTGTTGTTAATTATCTTAGTAAATAAGGGTCACATAAGAATTTATTTATTTTATCTCAGACAATTTTACTGCAGCAGGTGGTGATGAACGTCCTTTTAGCCTGTCAGTGTTGAGCTGTTTTGAGTTTAAGTTTGTTTGTTCACCAGTGAATTCCTTGTCCCTCTTTGTGGTGAATGTGTTATTTGGACTCAATGTTTAATAACATTTTGTGTTTTTGAATGAATCAACACAGCCACTGGTAGCCTGCTATGCTATGCTATACCTTTCCTGCTACTACTACCTATGTAAAAGGCATGAACATTTAAAACATGTCTATTTTGCTCAGTTTTGTTGCTTGTTCATTTTGGTAAAAAATAGAAACTTGCAGAAAAACTGCATTCCAACTGTATTATTTATTGATATAATGATTTAATTCCATTTTATTACTGTATTTTAATGTGAGCCAACATATTCTTAGAGCAGGGTATGAGTCAGACTAATACAGTAATTTGGTTTTCTGTAATATGATTTAATCCCACTGACGGGCTCTACATTTTCATGGGTGAGTGCATTCAAACAGGAATAAATGCTTGTGACTCTTGACTGTCTCTGCTGGGATCTGCTGGAAACCTGGTTAGCCTCTTCAGGGGATTCTTAATTTCCTCCTCCAACTTCTCTCTGACTTATTTCTTTTTTCTTTCCTCATCCTTTTATTGCATGGACTTGAGCAAGAGATTGTCACCGTGCTTTAAAGGTTTGAGGCCAATTCTGTAATCACATTTGGCACAAGTCTGCTGTCTTGAACAATGGTGACGACGATCCCCAGTAGCTCCTTCTATTCATCTCTGCTCGTCATCTTTTCTTCGCTCTTAATCTTTCATCTGATCTGTCTGGCTCTAGTCCTTTTCTCTCCAGGCCACTTATCATATTCTCCCTGCACACAGCTCTGCACCCTGCTATTCTCCAAAAGACCTACCCAGCTCTACCTCCGTCTCTATCTTCTCATACACCTTTCTGCTCTGCCCTAATCCCTCCATCGCCTTCTTACCCCAGGGACAATCCCTTTAAATCTCTCAATCCAGCTGCTCACTTTCCTCTGCTCCAGGTTCTCTTTAAGAGTTAGGTGAATTGTTGCTATCTTCTTTCACTATGCCTTCATTTGTACCACGTTCTTGTCTGTGTGTCAGGTTTTAGCCGAGTGTGGAGTTTTCTGTCTGTCAGACAGAACTCAAATGGCTCATGAGATTCAACACATGTACCAAAACCCACAAGACCAATTCATGATTGATGCATTTTAAATGTTCATTTCTCAAAACTGCTGTGACAAAAACTCACATCATGAATTAACATAAACTGATCCTGCATCACAGTGAAAGGTGAACCTGAAAACCAACTCTGTTGTAGACTTTAATCAAAACCCTTAATTGTTGTCAGGAGCCAATTAGAAGCAGGTTCACCTTGATGTGCTGTAATTATTCCTAACAAACTGTTTTATGCATTACCCCGTTTGGTAATGCATAAAACAGATACAGTAGTAATTTTCGGAATATTTTTTTTGATAAAATATTTTTCAACCATACAATTGGTTCAAACTTCCTAGTCTTTGCTTGACCGTGTCTCACTGCTGTGACTGGGGGAGGGGTGGTGGGTTGAGAGGGGAGTCAGGAGAAACACTACAGTCACCGTAAATTCTCACACACTTGTCTAAATAAATCCAGGAGTCTTTATAAGCAAACACAAACCCGTGTAAGCAAACATTGAAAGTCCATTATATTTTTTATCAGGATTTCTCTGTTATCCTATATCTTATACCCCTCCCTCTCACCCACCTCTCCTCTCCCTCCCCTCCCATCTTCCACGTATATGGACCTTTCATGAAGATAAAAAACAGGATAGAGAGAGAGAGACAATAAAAAGGACTGCTGATAATAGGAGCAGACAGAGGATGGTATGAGGTAGCCAAGGACAGAAGGGAGGGAGGACGTAGGAAAAGACAGAGGAGTGGATTAGATAAAGAGGAAGGTGGGACAGAGGAGGACAGAGGAGGACAGAAGGAGGACAGAGGAGGACAGAAGGAGGGGACACATGAGAAACAGGAGTGGATTATGTTGGAAAAGTCCGAATAAATAATGGGGGAAAAGCTGAATGTCACCTTTAGGTGTGTGAGAAATAAATTGTATTTTTTTTATTACCTTTTATTTATTACATGTGTCATTACAGCCCCTCCCTGTCTTTATATGTTTATGTGTGTGTGTGAGAGTGTGTGTGTGTGTGTGTGTCGTTTTGTTAGTGTGTGAGACAATTTAGATGAGTGTTTTCAAGGTTCTGAGATGTAGGGTTGTTGTGTCGCGCCACTAATCAGTATTAAAGTGTCCTTGAGTATCATTGGCACGCACACTCACACACACACACACACACACATACACACGCATACACACATACATACACACATGCGCAGATTTACTCCCGTTTGACTTGTGCCCATTTCCCACGGTGCACTTCTAGTGTATTTGGTCTGCGAGCGCCAGACTTATCTGTTCATCCTGTCATAATAACTCTTTGTATTTGGTATGCCTGGGCCAAGGTAGTCCTTGATACACACACACACACACACACACACACACACACACACACGTACAGGAAGTAGCGTTAGATACTGTACAGTACTACTAATCTTTGGATCAGTGCTTATGTTCACTTTGAGCCAGTGTGTTCAGCTACACCAACAGTGGGAGGACATCGGAGGACAGACGTGGGTGACAACAAACAAAAGGAGAGACAGAAAGTCATTGGCTGTCAAAGTTGAACGCGGTGATCTGAGTTATCTTGGCTTAAAAATGTGTTGTCGCATCTGTGGGTTTCAAAATTATAAATTTGATTCGCTACATTCTTCAGGCTAAAGGCTAGCATGTTCATCACTGACCTCTGGCAGCTAAAATCAAAGTGACACAAAATAAGTGCAATGTTTTAATACCACTGCCAAATACAGAATGAGAAGTTTTTTTTATCCCTGTCTTTGTCATTGGCCTCATGTGGAGTTTCCTATAATTTTGTGTGTATTGTAAATGTGACCAGTGCATCATATCATGGATGTATCCTGTAGTGCAGGCGTGGCCAACCCGCGGCTCGGGAGCCACATGTGGCTCTTACGTTCATGTCGAATTTTATGTTGTTTTTTTTGTTTTTGTTTTTGTTTTTTTTTTAGGCTGTGTGACACAAATGACTCTGGGGAAACCCATTTCACACAGATGAAGATGTACACAGGAAGTTTTAAAAGAGTGGACGAGTTTTCATATCATTTTTTGTTTTTATTTATTTTAAATTCAAATAGGAGACAGAGTTCAAACACCGTTCATACTGATACACTTCACAGAGTGTGACTGAGTATTGTTAAAGGTATCATGTAGATCATGGAGAGGATGTAGTAAAAGATGAAACAGGTGTTTTTGTCTGACTCCAGGATAATGGAAAAGCAGCAGCTGTGGTCGATTTCAGCCCACTGGTCATATGACATCAGAAGGCAGTGCAGGTGAGTTGGAATGAGTGGATGGATGGAAAAAAGGAATGGCAGAGAATATCCCTATTGT